AATTTGTTTTTGGTATCTGGGGTGCACAAAAAAATTGCAGATGGACCTTTTTTTGAAGGAAGGAACTTGAACAGGAGGTGGAAGGATTTTCCATAAAGAAGTCCAAGTTTATTCAACATCGCCTACTCTAACCAAGATCTCAGGAGAACACCTCTGGCCATTTTTTTTAAAGATGAAAGTCATGACTGAACCCACCGTGCTTGGTCCATGAAAAGAAACAACAGCACAAGACCCAGAATTGCCTTTAACTTTGTTTTTGGGGTCTGTGGCGCATAGCAGAGCTGCACACGGATCTTTTCCTGGAAGAGGAGACTTGAAGGTGACACAGAAAGATTTCTGCCAAGTTTTCCCATAAAGAAGTCGAAGTTTATTCAACATCGGCTATTTTAACGAAGATCTGAGGAGAACATCTTTGGCCATTTTTTTAAAAAAAATGAACGACATGACTGAAGCCATTTTGTTGGGTCCATGAAGGCCAACGAACAACAGAAGTCCCAGAATTTCCTTTGTTTTTGGTATCTGTGGCGCACAACAAAGTTTCAGACGGACCTTTTTTTGGAGGAAGGAACTTGAAGTGGAGGCAGAAGGATTTCTGCTTATTTTTTCTCCCCAGGAAGTCCCCTGAGGGCAAGATTAGGAGCTCTTCGGCCTCAGGGCAATCTGAGAGGACAAACTGTTACTGTTGTACAACTGCTGTTTCAGGTAGTCCTCAACTTATGACCACAATCGAGCCCAATACTTCTGTTGTTGAGTGAGACATTGGTTATTAAGCCAATTCTGCTCCGTTTCACGGCCTTTCTTGCCACAGTTGTTAAGTGAATTGCCCCAGTTGTTAAAAGTTAGTAGCCCGATTGTTGAGCAAATCTCTGCTTATCGGACGGTCACAAAAGGGGAATCGCGTGATGCCCCGGACACTGCAAACATCGTAAATATGAGTCAGCTGCCGAGTGGTTGAATTTTGATCACATGACCATGGGAATACTGCAACAGTCGCAAGTGTGAAAAACGGTCGTCTCTTTTTTTCTGTGCCACTGTAATTTTGAATGGTGAACTGTTCAAAATAAAGTTCACTAAATGAACTGTTGTAAGTTGAGGACTACCTGTAATCAGGTTGCTTTGCTTTTTTATACAAACATTGATGTACAAAAACAGTCAAATCTTGCCTTTCCACAGACATTCTAGTTTTCTCTGTTTTGAAGAAGTGCAGCTCCTATGGCCACAATGATCCCTTTTTCTTGGATAATCTTTTTATTTAATCCCACTCTTCTTCCAGCCACATTAATTTTCTTTATCTGTCAAGCTCCTCTGGTGCCTTCTCTCCCTTCAATCCAATCCAATCAGGATTCTTATGTGCTGTGACTTTGGACTTCCTCCAACTGAATGGTCAAGCTGCCTTTCTTCATTTATTCCCTAATCCCCATTGGAAGAAGCCCCCTTCTTCCTCATCATTTTTTTTTTCCTTCTCTCCAGCAGAGTGAAAAAGGAGAGAGTGGGTGTACTTGAGAGTTTGCCATGCTAATTAAAACTATTATACTGAATTAATGGTAATCCCATAAAACCTTCTGTCCCTTAAGTCTTAACCCAAATTTTCAACTCATTTCTTCTTAAAAGATCTCTTTCCCAAGAAAACTCAACCATCAACTTCAGTGAACACTTTCGACAGCTCACAATTGAGTTCATTCAAAAACTGCTCTGTGTGTGTGTGTGTGTGTGTGTGTGTGTGTGTGTGTGTGTTTCTGTGTGTTTGCATGCTACCAGTAGATGGCCATAAAGTTTTCTCTATCCATTCACTGCCATCTACTGGTAATCTAGATTTTTCTAACCCAAATATGCTGGGCCTAAACATATTAGGATTTTTATTGTGTTTGTACATTGTCTTGGATCACCAGATGGAAAACAGTTATAGATAGATAGATAGATAGATAGATAGATAGATAGATAGATAGATAGATAGACAGGCAGACAGACAGACATAGATGACAGAGATTAGATGATAGATTAAATATATAATTAGATTATAGACGATTAGATAGATGATATAGATGATGGATTAGATATAGATTAGATATAGATGAGATAGATAAATATAGATATAGATTGGATAGATATAAATCAGGGGTCCCCAAACTTGGCAACCTTAATTGGACTTCAATTCCCAGAATTCTGGCTGGAAAATTCTGGAAGTTGAAGTCCACAAGTCTTAAAGTTGCCAAGTTTGGAGACCCCTCATATAGATAGATAGAGATAAATGTGTGTGTTATATGTATATGTGTATGCAAATATTGTCTTGACAAAGGGAAAGATTAACAAGTAAAAATCTTTGGAAGCAAACCTTGATTTTGTGCATTAACTTTTTGTTCAAGGGTCCGTTGTGTGCAACAGTATGCTACTACAGATATTGAAAATGTTGCCACCTAATGGGTCAAAGCAATGAGGCTCTCACTGGGATTGCAAGTTCCTAGAAATGAAGAGCAGAAAACACCTGCTCTGTTTTGTTAGTTTGTGCAGACTCTCACGGAAATGTGCCTACAGAAGCAAAACCTTCCAAAATGATTTGGATGATGGATGGATAGTGTGTGTGTGTGTGTGTGTATTCCTCTAAGGTCTTCCTAAGGAGCACAATCACTTGCAAGTGTCGTGCCTTGTTTTCCAGTCCTGCCCAGGATGCCTCATTAAACAAAAAACCAGAAACGGTACCAAACTTTAGGATTCTCCAGCACAGATCAAACAACACTCCTAAAGAACTATTACAGGCAAGTAGTTCTGCTAGATTTGCAGGTTCTCAGCAGTAGCACACAGGATCGGATTTTTTTTTTAAAACAGTAGACTGACAACCAAGTCAACTTGCATCAAATTTCTTGTTGATGTTAGTTGTGAAGTAGTGTCTGACCCATCGCGACCCCATGGACAACATTCCTCCAGGCCTTCCTGTCCTCTACCATCCTCCGGAGTCCATTTAAGCTCATGCCAACTGCCTCAGTGACTTCATCCAGTCTTCTCCTTCTCTGCTGTCCCCTTCTTCTTTTGCCCTCCATTGTTCCCAGCATTCAGCTCTTCTACAGTGAGTCCTTCCTTCTCATTAGGTGGGCAAAGTATTTTGAGTTTCATCTTCAGGATCTGGCCTTCTAAAGAGCAGCCAAGGTTGATCTCCTCTAGGACTGACTGGTTGGATGGCCTTGCAATCCAAGGGAGTCTTCTCCTCCAGCACCAGAGTTCAAGGGCCTCCATTCTTCAGTGCTCAGCCTTCCTTATGGTCCAACTTTCACAGCCGTACATGGCAACTGGGCATCAAACTTACCCATTCGTATTAAAGAGAAAAGGAATTGCAGCCCAAATGTAGGACAAGGAAAAGCAGAACCTGGGGGTGGAGTCAAGGGAGCAATCAGCCTGGAATTATTGAGTTCCCACAAGTGATCCAACTTCTCTTGAATTCTGTTGACTCTCATCTAGGGTGAAATTGGAGCTGATTATTTAGTTGAGTAAAGTCTTGTGTATAAACAAGAGTTATAAATCAGCTTACCTGGAGCTTAAGCTGTGTGGTCCCAATTCTTCTCTCCCGACATCAACTTATCTGGTCCTTTTTTTCAACTCAGTTTTGTTATTCTAAGATGCCTTAAAATTTAGGAAAATATTTTCCCTACCTGAGCCAAGTTAAGTATGAAGAAAAATACACCTGCACCAACTTTGTTTTCTAATGGTACCTCCTAACCTAGACCAGATTCCAGAACTTAATATATTTTGTTTTCTATAAAACAAATGGGTTTTCTGCTTATTGCTGATATTGTGTTTTGTTTGTCATCTGTACTGTGTCACTTTATTCGCAGATATGTGACTACATAAATCATACTAAATCAAACTAAATCATAAATTGTTTAAATAAGCCTCCCAGAGTCGCTGGGATAGCAAGATGTGAGAGGCATATAAATTTAATAAATAAATCGAAATAGAATTTAAAAAATAGACTCAACTGTAAGCGAGCAACAAATATTCGTACCCTTCGAATTATAGAAATTGACCTTTATTTAACACAATATTTAACACAAGTTTCTTTTATTTTTGTTTTGATATAAAGTGACATTTTTAGTACAGAAAAATTACTGTTGGAACAGTATTGGTTTCTTTCAGTCGTACCATAGTCCATCTCAAGCCTCTCTCCTTTTAGAAAGAAAATGGAACTGCTGTTCCTCAACTTATAAACAATATTTCCACTCTGCGTGTATTATATAACCTTTCTACATTTTTTATTTCCTTTTTCTCTGGTATTCAGAACTAGAAACAGTATCTGTAAAACAGAAGGTATAATTTCCAACCAAGTGCTGCTTTTGAGTCATTGTGCAAGAAAAATCCCTTTTTTTAATTAATGCAAATAAAAAAAGGAAAAAAAAACCCTCAAAACTGGAAGGCAAGCCCACAGAACAAACAGAACAAAAAAAAAATCTACCTAATGAAATGTTAGGAACGGTAGCCGCAAATGCGGCTCTAAACAAAACTTTAGCAATCAAGGTACGGTACCTACAAAAACAGGACATGCAATTTATTTCATGAAGGAAAAATATAATAAAATGATGGTTTTGGGGGGGTGGGGAGGAAGTCCTAATTTAAAAAGAAAAACAAAAAGAAGAGAAAAAGGCAGTAGAGATCGATACAGGCAGGAAATACGAATTCTAATCAATTAAAAAAAAACAAAAGCATACACAAGTTGTTGTTGATATTGTTGTTTTTCTCAACAGTGGTAAAACTAAACAGTTATAGACCAAACTAGAAGCTGTCAGGTCCCCTAAAACTCAACTGTGCTTCTAATTAAATTTAAATCCCTATGGCTATTTTACTCCAAGGACCAACTTTCTACCAACGTCAGCCTCCTTCCCGTTGTGTAAACTATCTCTACACGTAGTAACATAAAACAGTCTAGGGCCTAAATTATAACCCCTTTTTTTTACGTATGATTTGAACGCAAGGTCCGAACTCAATCCTTAAAAAGAGACAAGGAGCACACTGGGTACATCATGATATTTAAATAGCAAAAATCCATGCATAAAATAAACCGGTAACTTTGGACAAAGAACACTGGACCCACACACACACACACACACACACACACACACACACAGACAGACAGACAGACACACACACAGTGGCCTGACCCATGGAGGAATTTTTTTCGCCTCCCACCCCACCCCATCAAGTACCTTTAGGGAAGAGCCCACGCCACAAAATCCATGCATGTCATCCTGACAGAAAATGGCTGCCCTTGAAGACCCCCCCACTTCTCACGCCGTTATCGGGGGGGGGGGGGGCTGGGAGGGAGGGAGGGCCAGGGAGGAGAACCTCAAAAAAAGTGTTTTTTTTTTAAACAAAAATTCAAGTAAACACAAACCCAACAATCTTGGGGAGCAGGTCAAAAGGGTTTTGTAAACGTTAACCTAAAGGATTTCTTTCTGTTTTTTTTCTCGCTTAGCGTCGCAAAGTCTTCGTTATTTTTTCTCCCGGGGGGGGGGGGGGGGGAAAGGACTCTTGGATTTGATCATCCGTGCCAAGACAAAAAAATGAGAAGAATTCTGCATCGCTGCTTTCCAAACGGACTTCGCAGATGACGTGGCCTGTGTGATGCTTTTGAACCTACTGCATAGGTAAACTATAACAAATTGGACACATACCCCCGTCAGCTGCTTAGCTACAATCTGTTGCAAGTGAACAGTATTTTTCACCGCATCGATCTTAGGGGGCCCTGGCAGGAATCCACAGGACTTTGTTCTGCTCCTGATCCACCGTGGTCATGATCTGAGTGCAAATGGTGGAAAGGGGTCCTCCTTGGACAACACCTGAGGAAACAAGAAGACAAGCCATCCGTCTTTATTGGCCAACCAGGAGAAGCGCATAAATGAAGCAAAGATAGGCCTTGACTCATGGTGGATCCCAAAATTTCTGTTCTGTAGCAAAGGAGTTTCTACGGAGCTATCTCCAAGCATTTTGCACTGGATTTCCAATAAAAGTACCTCTTTCTCTCTCTCTCTCATCTCTCTCATTCTCTCTCCTTTTCTCTGTCATTTCTCTCTCATCTCTTTCATTCTCTCTCTGTGTGTATCTCTTTCTCTCTTTCTCATCTTTCTCACTCCCTCTCAATCTCTCATTCTCTCTCTGTATCTTTCTCTCTTTCATTTCTCTCTCTCTCATCTTTCATTCTCTGTATATATCTTTCTTTCTCTTTCATTCTCTCTCTCTCTGTATCTCTTTTCTCTCCTTCCCTCCCTCTCTCATTTTTCTCTCTCTCTTGTCTCTCTCATCTCTTTCATTCTGTGTGTAAATCTCTCTCTCTCTCATTTCTCTCTCTCTCATCTCTTTCATTCTCTCTCTTTGTGTGTATCCTTTTTCTCTCTCTCATCTCTCTCCCTCCCTCTCAACCTCTCTCTCTAACTCTTGCTTGTTTTCTTGCAGACATTTCACGACCCCAACTAGGTAACATCATCAGGGCTAGTCAGTAACACTGATAATGTTACCTACTTTGGGTCAGGAAATGTCTGCAGGAAAACAAGCAAGCTCACTAAGGACCTTTTGTGTCTGAACTACAAATATTCTCCATTGTTAGGAACTAGGTATGTTCAGCCTAATAAAGAGAAGGCTTGAAGAGGTGATAGCATCTTCCAATGCTTGATGGGCTATTACAGAAAAGTGGACCCTGATCTATTCTCTATAAAACCTGAGGTCAAGACAAGAAGCAGTGAGTGGAAGATCACAAAAGAGAGACCCAGCCTTTAAAAGATTAATAGAGTTGAAAGGTACCTTGTAGATTATCTAGTCCAACCCTCTGCCCAAGCGGGAGACCCTACACCATTTCTGACAGATGGCAGTCCAATCTCTTCTTGAAAGCCTCCAGGGATGAAGCTCCCACAACTTCCAAAGGCAACTTCTGTTCCATGAGTTGATTGTTCTCACTATCAGAAAATTTCTCCATATTTCTAGGTTGAATCTATCCTTGTTCAGCTTCCATCCATTATTCCTTCTCTGGCCTTCGGGTGCTTTAGAAAATAGCTTGACTCCCCCTCCTCTCTGTGGCAGCTCCTCAAATATTGGAAGACTGCTATCATGTCTCCCCTGGTCCTTCTCTTCCCTAGACTAGCCATGACCAGTTCCTGCAACCGTTCGTTGTATGTTTGAGCCTCCAGTCCCCTCATCATCCTGGTTGCTCTTCTCTGCTCTCTTTCTAGAGTCTCAACTTCTTTTTTATAGTGTGAACAAAATCTGGAAATAAGAAGGAATTTCCTGACAATGTGAACAATCAAGCTTGCCTCCCAGAGTTGTGGCTGCTCCATCACAGGAGGTCTTCCAAGAAAAAAATGGACAATCATTATATATAACGAATAAAGGATAAAGAATCCTACCTTGTGCACGGGGTTGGACTAAAAGGCCTCCAAGGTCCTTTTTCAGCTCAGTTATTCTATGTATTTTATCACTGTATTTTCTTTTTTATCGGTCTAACCTCGGACTTATATCTCCTATTTTATTTTTCTTTTATAGTTTCCCTATGATCGGTGAATATCCGCACCTAAGTGGCATTCGAAGTGCAGATTTGCTGTCCACTCCCCGAAAAGAATGAATCAGCTAAAATTGGATCGAGAAAGAACGTCTTATGCAACATTTTAATCCCGTGTAACTGAGAGTTTAGCATCGTATTCTGAGCACCTCATCAGCACCTTCTTACATCAGCCACTCTGACTCCTGGGTTTTTAATAGAACATTTCCTGAGAAACCCTCTGTGACCTTATTTTTAAAGTTATCCCAATGGCTTAATTAACTCTCCCAGAGATCAAAATGTAGCATGAGAAAAAAGAAAGAAAGAAAGAAAGAAAGAAAGAAAGAAAGAAAGAAAGAAA